AAAACGAATAATTATTTTCCGGTCATGCACTGCTATGCTTCTTTTACCCACAAGAAGATGCATAAGGGGACTCTCGTGAACTAGAGGTTAAGATGTTCGCCTCTCATTTAATATGTCCCGCGTTCGAATCCTGAAAGGGACGGAACATTTTCGTGTCTGAAATATTCTCCTTTCACCTCCTCTCTAACAAAAATCTTCTTTCATGCATTGCCTTGTTTAAAAGCCAGTGGTTCATTTCAACTACTCGACTCTTTTCAGAAAGACGGACGACTGACGGTGTGGTGGACACGAGGGCTAATCCGTCCACAGAGAAGGAGACAACAAAAGGAACAGTTCCTTCTAGGTTTTAATTGACTCCATTCATTTCTTCTCGAAAACATTGACTTAACAACGAACTATTTTTTTTTAACATGAGAGAGAGAGAGAGAGAGAGAGAGAGAGAGAGAGAGAGAGAGAGAGAGAGACGTTTTATAGTCTTGTCTCTCTCCTCGCGGTCTGCCAACTTTTCCGTTTAAAAACCAACTACACATAGATCAGGTTGCTACAAAAGTGAACCAAAAATCCTCCCTCCCACGCACTAGTTACTGCTAAAAATCGCTAAGTCATTGGACCCCGGGGACCAACGACTCTGGTGTAGCGGTTAGGGTCTTTGCAACTGCATGCAGAAGACATGAGTTCGATTCCCGAAAAGACAGATTGTTTAAGAAGTAAGCAACACTGACCGATGCGATATTGCATCCCGTCCTTATAATTTAGTCTCCCCACTACATTTTCATCAGACCTGGGGTCTGTTAAACAAGACAATATTCGACCAGACTTTGTGTCAAAACATGAGCTACCACAAACTTGTCAAATTGGAAACCTGTTAAGCCACTACAGTATCACATGTGATGTTTTGTCGGAATGGTTAACCAATTATAACAGCAGAAAATTCAAATACACAGATTTTACAACAAAGTCTTGGTTTTTAACTTAGAAACGGACAAATTTATTCAGGCGCAGCTGGTCTCTATAGAGCGTTTCATCAAGGAATAATCTCTATCTCAGTATTGTTATTTTGTCAGTGTGTGACATTTAGAACTAGCTTTTGTCAGTCCTACATCTTCTAAGGATAAACTTTCGATTTTTTCGAAATCTCAGACATGGCTGCATACTTTTTGTCCTTCTCAGTTCCAATCAGGTGCGACGCGTTGGATACTTTGGGACACTCTGTATCTACGCCATTACTGTTTGATGGACATTTCTGTAAAGTTTGGGTCTGTGACATTTAGGCGACTGATTCCATTGCCCTCTGTTTCTCCATCGTCTAGACGAGGGTGCTTTATTGTATAAGATAAGCTTGTCGGGATGACGTCTGTTGAGTTTTTTAGCACTCATTGTCCGTCATCTGCCGAGTAAAGCGATTTCAACCTAAACATCGGCAGCCGTCAATGAAGTTTACCTGTGAAGAGACGAAGGAGAAAGAATAAATTATGTGCAGTTTTCTCATCTCGATTTGCAAACGAAATAAAGCAAATCTTGAAAGGCTAAAGAAATACACTGCTTTAGAATATCGATAGAATCTCCTATCACGTCGATCTTAAAGCACACACGTGCATCTAAAGGTCTTAATCAAGGACATGAACACTAAACAAGAGAACTAAAAACAAAAGCACACCATTTGCGTCCTATGGGATGTACTCTTGAAACCAGAGCCCCAAAGCAAAACAAAGTCTAAAGATAGAACCGAACGTCCATTCCTAACGTCACTTCTACATTTATTTCACACTTTCCTTTTCATTCTCTTTCATATTGTCCTTCAAAATCGTCTATTACACTCATATTATCTGACCCATCCACGTTAATGCACTCCATAAACACTCAACAGAGCATCTTATGAAATGGAATATGACGATGTGTGTGATGATGTGATAGTCATAACCTCAAATACTGTAATCCCCCCTCCTCTGCCCCCCCCCCCCAATCGAAAAACAAAAACAAAAGTAAGGAAAAGTTAAATCAAATTAAAATGATAATATCCGAATTATATTAAAGTTTTAAAGAGTGAAAAAACTAGATCAATAAATTCACTCCAACCTAAAAAACCACCACAAAATCGGAGGTTAAGCTTTTCCTCACAATATCCCCTCCTTCTAGAACGCATTACCGTCTTCTCTACGGATAGAGAGAAAGAGACAGACAGACAAGCAGAGAGAGAGAGAGAGAGAGAGAGAGAGAGAGAGAGAGAGAGAGAGAGAGGGAGAGAGAGAGAGAGAGGGGGGGATAGATAGATAGATAGATAGATAGATAGATAGATAGATAGATAGATAGATAGATAGATAGATAGATAGATAGATAGATAGATAGATAGATAGATAGCGAGAGAGAACAAAAGAGAGAGAGAGAGGGTGAGAGAGAGGGGGAGAGAGAGAGAGGGGGAAAGAGAAAGAGACAGAGAGAGAGAGAGAGAGAGAGAGAGAGAGAGAGAGAGTGAGAGAGTGAGTGAGTGAGAGAGAGAAAGGATACGGTGGGGGTGGGGGGAGAGGAAGAAGAGTGTTCTTTGTAAAATTTGTGTAGTGCGTTGAGCACTTTCTTCGTGGAAATGAGCTATAGAAATAAAATTGACTATTGTTATTTTTATTATCTTTTGCATTTTTCCTCTATCTTAAAACGTCCTTTGCAACAATATTATTATCTTACACACACACACACATCTAGCCTCTTTATTTCGCTGCACTCAAAAGAGACACATAGATCTAGATATTAGAATTCGTGAAATCGAATTGAGATAAATGTGAGTATGGTGATAGCAAAGAGTCTACATAACAAGAGGGGTCACTTCTCTCTTTGAGCCAATTAAAAAAGTGTCCTCAAAATTCGGTGGCGCCCTCTTCGCCAATGCACACCCTTTGCGAACAGAGTTACCCTACTTGAGTTTAAAAAATCAAAGTGAAACTAGCAAGTTTTTGAATAAATTTCGGAAGAACGCTTTTTTAAAATGGTTACGCTGACAAAAAACCTCTTCCGGAGGAAAGGGTGATTGTTTTCCTCGTTTAATTTTGACTTTAGAATGAAAGGCGAGAGGTCATTAAAATAAAAAGAAACTAAAACTCCACACTGAACGAACCCGAACTGCCGATGAACAGCAGTCGATCTGCGCACGCAAGGAGGTACTATTCCTATTCTTCTTCTGGAAAAACGAAAGAGAGCTTCAAAACAGACTGCAGCGCCATCTGAAGCAAAGAGCATACTTCCTGCGGACACTTTTTTGGCTGAGTGGCCCATCTTGTTATTTACTATCTTTGGTGATAGTCATAAAATCGATTACTCCTTCCACCCCCAATAAGAAAAAAATGAAAATTTCCTGCATCGACAAATCCACAAAGTGCGAGTAAAGTTGCATTGTATTGATTATTTTTAAGTTCCTGTAGTTTTCAACATCCGTTTTGATTGTGTGCATTTTGTAGTGCGTTTATTGCGTAGTCTAAACAGCCGTATGCACTGCTCACCGCCGAACGCTCCGTATCCCGGACTCTAGCATGGAGATCATCAGGAGAGAATGCGTCGCTGTTTCGGGCTCTTCCTCTCTACAGCTTTTCTGACGCACCGAGCCCCCTCACCGATGTGAGGTCTCCATGTTAGTTCGACTGTTTTCCTCTGCTGCCAACTTTAGGATTCATTCCAGCCTGGGTCCTCTCACTTCAACCAGATCCAGTGACTGGCTTTCTCTGCTGTCTCCTGAAGGGAGTTTGTGAGTTCGTTGCTTTTCTTTGCAGTAAGTCCTGCCACTCTCATCCACTTACAGGCGCTTGTTGCTACAAAACCTCTGCATCCTACCTCTACCGGAAAATGGGTTGCCTTCCATCCTGCCTCCTCACATTGTTCGACGAGTGCCTCGTAACGGTTTTCTTTCCGTTCATGAGCGGCATAGATATTGTCCTCGTGGGGCACCGTGAGCTCTACCAAGTGCACCTCTTTGTCTTTTTCCTCCCATAACACAATGTCTATAATGTCTGGCTTTTTCGTAGTTGGAATAGGGAAGAATCTCTCAAAGCCTTTTAAATCAGCAGCTACCTCCCATGTGCCTCCGCTCTGGTCTTCCATAGCTTCGTTCGCTTTCTTTCTTTTGGTAACCTTGCTTCCTTGCGGAACGAACGCAATCTTGGTGGGTCCATGCTTCTGTATCTTGGGGGCATATTTTCCTTCTTCCGCCTGTTGTGTCGCCATTGTCGTGAGCACTTTCAGCACCTCATTGTGCCTCCAGGTGTATCTGTTAAGAGCCAGGTTGCAGTTTGACAAAATATGCTTCATGGTTCCTAGCTTACCGCATCTAAAACTTGTTGTCCTCCTGTACCTTCCACCTGACAAGGTTCACCGGTGAAGGCAGAACATCATACGTAGACCGGAGAAGAAAGCTTAGTCTTGATGTATTCCACTTCCAGATGTCACTCCACCCGACTTTTCTTTCGACTACATGCTCTTCCCATCTGGTCATTTGTCCTTGCTGGCTACACTGGATGAGATGAATTTCTCGCCTCTCTGCCTCTATCTTTTGCATATGTCTTGTTGCAGCTTTTCTTCTGTCTCGCTGAGACATTTTCCTGAAAGGTCTAAAGTCGCCATTACCTAGTCCTAATCTGTCAGGTTGCGCTGGACCGACAATGTCACCATGCTCCAATGCAGAGACGATCTCGTTAGCTGCAACTTCTGCCTTCCACTTTCTGGCTGTTTTGACATCTGGAGGTTTTCCACTGATCTCCTTATCCCTTGATTCTCTCAACATCAAAACGGTTCTAATCTTGCCTGCTTTGTAGATCTCCACGATTGACGTGAGAGGTAGTTGAAGCCCACCTCTATGTCTGTACAGGGATGACGTGTTAATGGTACGGGGTAGCCCCAGCCACTTCCTGATGTAGCTGTTACCCTTTCTTTCGATCACCTCAACTCTTGACAGAGCAACTTCATACATTGTCAGTGGCCACACCAATCGAGGGTAGAGGGCAAACTGTAGACACTATATCTTATGCTTTCCTGGAAGCTTTCAGCCCATTTTCAGCCTGCTTCATGATTTCCACGCCTTGACTCCTATCAGACAGAGTTCCTGAGTACCACCGACCCAAACTTTTCACAGGTTGTTCTTTTACTGTGGGCATTTGCTCCCCTGCAATTGTGAACTTCAGTTGCTTCTGTTTTCCTTTGTGAATAGTCAGGCTTCTAGACTTTTTAGCTTTAAACTTCATCCTGGCCCAGGTGATAAGCTTATCGAGCCGATTCAACACACTTTGCATTCTGTCTCCATCTCTTGTCAGTAGGGTCACATCATCCATAAAGGCTTTCTTTGGTGATCTCACCTTTGCTTCTTCTTCCCAGCATTCTGCAGATCTCAGTAGCATCTCCATTACCAGGATGAACCAGATGACCGATACAGAGCAGCCAGCTGCAATCCCAATCTCTAGTCGGTGCCATTCCGTTGTGAAATTTGCGGTTGAGAATCGCATCTGGAAGTTACTATAGTATTCTCTCATGATGTTTTGCACCTCTTGCGGGACGTAGAAAAAATCCATTGCCTTCATCAGCAATTTATGGGGAACAGACCCGTAGGCATTCGCCAGATCCAACCACACTACGTTTAAACTTTCCTTGTTTTTCTTGGCCTCTTGAATTGTGTCCCAAATGGTGAAAGCATGCTCGATGCAGCCTGGGATCCCTGGTACCCCGGCTTTCTGAACCGTTTCATCCACATAGCCGTTACTTTGCAAATATGCTACAGTCCTCTTTGCAAGTATTCCCATAAAGATCTTGCACGTCACGTTGATGATTGAAATAGGTCTGAACTGTCCTATCTCCTTTGCATTCTGTTCTTTGGGTAGATACACGCCCTCCACTCTGCACCAATCTTTGACGATTTCCTTGTCTTTCCAAAGGCCTCTTAGCATCTCAAAGAGGGTGTGTCTCAGCGTGTCGCAATACTTGAACACCTTATAAGACACGCCATCTCCTCCAGGTGCACTTTTTGCTCTTGCTTTTTTTACAAACGCATTTACTTGTTTCTCTCTAATTGGTCCCAGGTAATATTTGACGACGGGGGCAGCTGGACGCTTCAGGCCTCTCATATAAGGAAGCAGTTCTTCTCTTCTTAAATAGCTGTACGTCTGCTTAACATAAGCATCGAGTTCTTCTTTCGTACATTCCAATTTACCACTCCGTGCCTCTGTGAACAGTTTTTTGGCTGCTTCATAAGGATTCTTCAGAAATTGTTCACGTTCCCTTTTTCTCTCTTTTCTCCTGGTACACCTTCTTTCGTGCCTCTGTAGGTCTCTGCTCTTTTTCTTAAGATCTTCAAACAAGATTCTCAGGCCTTCTATCTCTTCTGGTGGTGCGTACTTTATCTGCTTTTGCAAGTCTCATTTCTGTTTTCTTAGCTGTGCAAGTACTCTCTGCCTTCTACTCAATCCACTTTTCTTCTCCGTCTTTTTCTTTCCTTCACAAATACCAAACTCTTTTATTGCCGAGTCATAGATAATGGTCGCAAACGCACTCAATATTTCTTTAACATCCCCTCTGTTAGAACTCTTTTTGACTTCTTTCAATTTCTTCTGGACTTCTTCTTCTAACATCTTGTAGTTTGCCTTCTCGTTGGCAGCAGGCCACAGTATTCTGGGTTTCCGTAACTCTGGTTCCGTTTGCTGTTCCATCTCATGCTGAGACAGGGTGAAACGAGTGTCGACTGAAGCACTAATCGCTCCGCTGTGGTTTTCATCCTGGGATGATTTGCTTCGCGTCTTACAATCTGACGATCTGCACTGTCTTCTCTTCTTTCAACAGACTTTTCCCTGGTGCACTCTCAGCCCTCGCCAGGTATCGAACTTTCTGTAGCACTGCTCGCACATAAAGCTGTTCTCATGATTTTCTTTCTGCATTGTCCTTTTAACGCTTAGGTCATTGTCCATTGTATTCGTTCTAGAGGATCCATCCTCTACTCCCCCCCCCCTCTCGATGGATCCCGGGGCTGTATTTTCTATTGGTTGACGTAACTTATATTTACAGTGACCTGGGTAGTTAACCCCTGCCACCGTCGGTCTTTCCCGACGTCCTCGGTCTTTCCCGATGTCCACCCGTCACTCCGGGTTGTCGTCCTGTCTTTCCAGGATGTCCGTAGCATACACCTGCTACTGGTAGGTACGTAGTCTAAACAGCCGTATGCACTGCTCACCGCCGAACGCTCCGTATCCCGGACTCTAGCATGGAGATCATCAGGAGAGAATGCGTCGCTGTTTCGGGCTCTTCCTCTCTACAGCTTTTCTGACGCACCGAGCCCCCTCACCGATGTGAGGTCTCCATGTTATTTCGACTGTTTTCCTCCGCTGCCAACTTTAGGATTCATTCCAGCCTGGGTCCTCTCGCTTCAACCAGATCCAGTGACTGGCTTGATCTACTGTCTCCTGAAGGGAGTTTGTGAGTTCGTTGCTTTTCTTTGCAGTAAGTCCTGCCACTCTCATCCACTTACAGGCGCTTGTTGCTACAAAACCTCTGCATCCTACCTCTACATATTAATCATTATTATATATTGTGTTTGAGTTTTTTGGTTTTTTGTTTGTTTGATTGGTTTGTTATTTCTTTTTGTTTGTTCATTAGTTAGTTAGATTTCTAGTTAGTTAGTTAGTTGGTTAGTCAGTCAGTCAGTCAGTCAGTCAGTCAGTCAGTCAGTCAGTCAGTCAGTCAGTTAGTTAGTTAGTTAGTTAGTTAGTTAGTTAGTTAGTTAGTTAGTTAGTTAGTTCGTTCGTTCGTTCGTTTGTTAGTCTGTTCGTTAGTTAGTTAATTAGTTTGTTTGTTTTTGGTAAGTGTTTACGGCGCTTGCGACTGAGTGTTAGCGCCACTTGTTCTCTTTGTATATATTGGTGAGTGAAGAGAGAAAGAGGAATTGAGGAACAAAGTCTCCCAAAGGCTCAATCGCACGTCTCTTCTTTTTCAAGACACGACTGGGGGTTAGTTTTAAGCCCAGCAATGAAGTGTATTTGTAAACTGTTCTTGGGGGCTCTCGTGGCCTAGAGGTTAGGGTGTTGGCCTCTCGTTCAAAAGGTCCCAGGTTCGAATCCAGGTAGCGACCGAAAAATTTTCTTCTCTAAATTTGTCTCCTTTTACCTCATTTCCTCTAGCAATGTTCTGTCGTCTGCTTTCGTCTCCTCTTTCTGCCCCCCCCCCCCCCTCACCTCTGGGCTCCTGATTCTTTTTGCAGCCTTTCTACTGCTACTCCTTTGCTTCTTACTGCTGTCTTTCAGCCACATCATTGATCTTCTGGTAGGAAAGATCTACACCTAGCCTTCTCGGACAAGGGCGAAAAATCTCGGAGGGCCCGAGTGCAAGTTGCGCACGTTAAAGATCCCTTGGCGGTCTAAAATCGATAAGAGTAGGCTTCAGCCGCCACCCGGGCAAAATTCAAAATTTCCTACCAACTGAAAATATTAGGTACATCGCGTCACCTGGACACCGGTCATCCGTGTGTCATATGGCCTCGCAGGTCAGTGTCTTATCAACAGACCATTCCGTAGAGCAAGAAGCGGCGATCAAGAGGTCCAATCCTGGAGCTCAAGCTCGGAGGAATGCTTGCCTGCCTTGTCTCCACAGCCACTACAGCTTGTTGACAGGTTGTGTACGGAGGAAGATGACATACTCGAGTGTGTTTCCATATTGCCCGAAACTGGCGCAGAGTGACCAGTCCAGCGAAGCTGTAACGGTGAACGTGATTCACCATTAGCTTAGACCCAACTCCTTCCCCCTTTCCATCCCCCTCCCTATTCTTTCCTCTACCTTGTGTCCCCCTCCTCACGCCTACGCTGTTCCTTCATCTTTCCCTGCTTAGCTTTTTGGGTTGATGGACGCTGCTTCTTGATCCTGTCTGCAATCAAACATTCTGACTTTTGTTATTCTCCATGCCTGAACTGTTTTAATTCCATACCCTGTTTCTGAGCACAACTCCCATTTTCTGTTGAGCCAACCCCTTCCTCTCTTGCTTTTTACCTTTGCTCTTAGAACATATCATTTCTAGGATGAATCATTCTATTTGATATGTTCAAAATAGTTTAGGTTCATTGTCATTATGTTCTGAAGAAGTGCTGGTGTTTCTATACCTAATTCCCTCCATATATGCCTATTTAGTTTCTGTCTTCAGTATATTTTTTAAAGTCTTCTTGTCTCTTGATGGTCGTTGCTTCTTAATATTGCGGTGGGAATACAATAGGCCTACTTCTTAAAATTCTTTTTTTTCTATCATTGCAATGTGCTTTCCATATGAAATGTAGGCTATCCTTTTCAATTTCTATGATGCAATTTAAAATATCTGGAATAGTCTCATTCTCTTCAATCTTGGCTCCGTGTTTAAAATTGCTTTTTTACTATTTCTTCCCAACAATTCTTCATATATATAACATCTTCTTTGCATTTGTTTATGTCTGTCATTTCGCTTTCTTTCCATTTAGATCAATTCCATTAGGGTCACTAGGGCCTACTGTGTTCGTTGACAAATTCTTATTAAAGTCTCTCATTCTCTTGAGTTTTGTGGCAGCCTCGCTTCCACCACAATGTTTGCAACAATGTTTAGGTCCAAACAATGATGTAGGCCTACTTTACGCTGACCGGGTAAGGCTTCGTTTTAATTGTTTAGTTTAGGCTATTGATGGTCTGATTGTTCTTACTGTTCTGGTTATAAGATTTATTGCTATCCAACTGTAAACGTACCAATGCAATTTATGATGATAAACAACTATCTTTAATTTGATTTGTCTACTATAAATAATATTTATCTCTTTTTGATAACTGATAAACAACTGTATTGACGTGATGTTGAGTAAATGTATGTAAAGTTAATAAATTATTGTCTGTACGTACATTTTGGGTGTCAAAGCTAATTAATTACAAACCAAATGTCACCACATGCTGAAGTGGAACTAATTTATTCTTTTCTTTTCTTTTTTTTTTTTTTTTTTTTGGAGAAGGGGGTTTGTTTTGCATTACAAAAAATATTTCAGCATTGTACACCTTTTGATAACAGGGGTCTTAAACTTTCCCTCCCCTCCACCCTTTTCTTCACCTCAAATTGCCCGATGCTACAAATCTCTCAAACGTAGAGGTAGACATTGGAGGAATTGCGGAAGCGGGGGAGGGGTGGGGAGAGTTCGGGGGTGGGGGGGGGGGGTATATTGCTCATTAATAGGACCACCCATTTTGTAAATTACAAACAGCATTTTATTCCTGTAACCAATTCTGTCAATAGTAGTAATATTATCCTTTGATGTATTGCTTCACATTATGTTAGCCAAAAGTGAATGCTTTTTTATGATTATCTGTGTTATGCTTCCTAGACTACCATGGCAAAAGCTGGTTTTATGTTGAGATCCTTTTTGACTTTTTAATTCAAAAGCACATTAGTTCATATGTTGTCTTGTCTCTCAACAACAAAAATCAACACTTTTCCTTTTGAACTGCGGGTTGTTGTTGTTGCTCAGTGGAGAGAGTTTTACGTCGTTCGCAACGACATAAAGTCATACACAAGTTGGTTGCATTCACAACATTTCACAGCATGGCTTGGCTTTGGTCAAAAGATCAGATTAAAATGTGGGGGATGGGGGGGGGGGGGTGCTCTCGTGGCCTAGAGGTAAAGGTGCTCGCCTCTCATTCAAAGGTCCAGGGTTCGAATCCGGGTAGCGACGGAAACATTTTTTTCTCTTAAATTGTCCCCCTTTCACCTCCTTTCCTGCTCCCGAGCAACGTTCTGTCGTCTGCTTTCGTCTCCACTTTCTGCCCCCACCCCCTCACCTCCTTAGCCCCCTCCTCTGGACTTCTGAGTGACTCTTTCTCTTTTTTCTGCAGCCTTTCTACTGCTTCTCCTTGGCTCCTTCTTACTGCTGTCTTTCAGCGACACCCCTTATCTTCTGGTAGGAAGGAAAGATCTAGATCTTCACCTAGCCTTCTCAGACAAGGGCGAATAATCTCGGAGGTCCCGTGTGCAAGTTGCAAGATCTCTTGGTGGTCTAGAATCGATAAGAGTAGGCTTCGGCAGCCACCCGGGCAAAATTCAAAATTTCCTACCTAGTGAAAAAGTGTAATGTGTAGTGCT